GAACTGGATTTCGAGGCACGTAAGCATCCCTAACAAGGTAAGCGAAGTGCCGAGAAAGCCGTCCTTGAGCCAGTTGGCATACATTGTTCAGCGGGTCGAAAGCGGAAAGAAACTTGGCCAAGACTCTCACATACGGAGAAATTCGAGTTGACTGCTTACTCAATTAGTTAATTAATTGTTTGCAATTGAATGTCAGTGGATTAAATGGGTAATCAAAAACAGGTAATAATCAGAAACAGGTAATATAATCCTCAAGAACCTAAAGAAATAAATAATATTGCTTCAACTAAACATCCACAATTTTAGACATTTTAAACTATCAAAAGCTGATCAAATTGGCTTTTTGAAAGCCAGACTATTAAATTAATCAGTGAACAGTAAGCTGAACGCCTTGGCTACAAGGGTCCCGAGGTATTTTGCTCTATCAGAGCTCTTTCCAAGTCAATGCACCCACAATTAAGCTTATTAAGCACCAGGGGGAGGACAACTTTTTGCGCTGCGTTGGCAGCAATTAAAAAACCGCTACACCTGCGTTGCCAATTAATAGTTTTAGCTTGTTCTTTTTGAAAATCATTTGGCAACTAAAACAATTGAAGGAGATGTGGGATTCCCGGAAGTGCAGCGGGGCAGAAACGCTTTTTCTGGTGGCTGCTCGGTAGTCGAGCGAACAAATTGCAAGGGAAAAGGCAAAAGAAATCGCAAGAAATATCGGGAGCAGTTGGTCGCATGCAGGAGAAATGCTGTGCCAGTGTTTGTCTTGGGCAAAACTTTCCACCGCTGAATTGTATCTGTGAGGACGCCGGCACTGAGAGGAATACTAGGTGGAAAAGCAAAATTCTAGAATTTTTCATATATTCCATATATTCGAGGAGAAGCTACGTTTAACCCAAGGAAACTCATAAGACACTCCTGGCAATTTTTCACTGTGTGTGTGTATAGGAGCAGCAACACCATCTCCATCTGCAGTTCCAGCTGAGGCAATATCCTTATCTGCATTGAGGCAAAATTCTGTGCCAGTCGTCCTCGCTCCCAGTTTCCTGGCTGCGTCTTCCAATTGTTGTCGGCAACTCGGAAGGCAACTCAAACAGCCGAAGAAAGACTCCAGACTGCGGCTGCCTAAATGCCCGCCATTTATTTGTGAATGGCACTCCGCAGACTCCAGGGCTAAGAAGACAGAGGGACTGGAAAACCGGATGCCAGGAGGAGACGCCATCGTTCTGTTCTGCGCCATTTCAAAGCACTAAACGTGCCGCTGCATGGCAAACAAGTTGAAAAAATTTTCCACAAAGCCTCCAGCAAGCTCCCCGTACATCAAGGGCCGTTGGCCACAGCCGCAAACTATTTTCATAAACTTCCATCCAGTGGGCAACTAATCACGCAAACATTTAAAGTACACCATCAATCTATCACAACAGTCTTGTCAACGGAGAAAAGTACTTTAAAGAAAATTAAAAATGAAAAAGAAAATTTCTAAAGGTCTGTTTCAAAGAAACATAACGTTTTTGTTATTTACAATCAAATAAAAACACCTCTTAACGAGGTAAAAAACTAGTGACGACCGCACCTTCAACATACAAAAGTTCTGATATCAACATTTGTGACGAAAAATTATTACACTCGTCATTAAATAGACTTTCTAATATTTTCTCATTCGGCCCGCCCTAACAAACTATTCCAGCATTTTTCCCTTCACAGGCATTTTCTATTGCAGCGTGCCGAATGAGAAAATATTAGAAAGTCTATTTAATGACGAGTGTAATAATTTTAAGGAATCTCAAGGGCTATACAGTTTAAGGTTTTAAAGAAAATCGTTAGAGCCGTTTTTGAGAAAAATAAAAAAAAGCTAAAAAAAAAGTTTTAAAAAATTGTCTTTTGTTCATATTTTTTTAATTATTACATTTACACAAATTGCATATAGAAGGCGTTTATAGCATTTAAAAATACCTTTCAAACGAGATGCAGCACAAGTCTGTAGCTTTAGTAGTATAGAAGTTACGGCTTTCCGATTTTTAGCTATTTATAGCTGTTTTCCCGCTAAACTAGCGAGTTTTTCCAAAAGTGGTAGAACAAAAGTTTTTTATATCGATGTGATGAACGTCATATAAAATTTTCAAAACTTAAAAAACATGTTTTGGACAAACTGACAAACTGACAAACTGACAAACTGACAAACAGAATTAAATTTTCATTTTGGGAAGACGAAGAAAATCTTATTTTGGCTATAACTTTTGAACGGAGCGTCGGTTTTGACAAACGACCCCTCATTCGACGGGTATTTTCAAAAGGAATACAAGTAAAATATTGCGAGGGGGCAATTATCCCCACCGGCCCCAACAGCTCCAAATTTCGAAATTTTCACTTGTTCACTTTCACCGCTCTCTCCCAAGCCAATTGATTTTCTTAGAGTCTTGGTATGCAATCCTGTTAGTTTTTGCAATACCTTTCGATAGGTGTATCATTCATTATGATCGGACCATCACAGTAGATTTTCATTTCTTCGTGTATATATAGTAGTCGCCTTCGCACACTCTCCTGGTGCGCTTCGTCACTACATGGACTGCCGTCCATAGTGATTTTTAATCATTCCCTCTTGTGGAAGAGTATAATTTTATACAATCAGCTTCAATTTCACACTTTAATCCCAATGCAATATGCATTGCCACACTAAACCGCTGGACATTTTGATTCCAAGCGATTAAATTGAGAAAAATCAATCGCCCTATCAGCGTTTGTCAGTCAGATTTTCAATTAAATTTCAAATACAGCCAATGCACATTTACGGCTGCCACTTCACATCACTCATGCGTCGTTGCGCATAAATCAAAATAATTTACTGCCTCGCCGGCAGTGGAATTTATTGAAATTCCGCCGAAAAAAGGATGCAGATGCAACTGGATGCTGGATGGTGGATAGTGGATGCTCGATTGCAGTGCGCAAAACAATCCCATTGAATGGTTTCGATTTCGATTTCAGCCGGGCCAGCCTTCCAATTTGTAATGCAATATGCTGATTTCGGATTTCTGGCCCCTCGCTGCCTGTTTGGCTGCCAGTCAACACTCGTGTGCCAATAGAAATGCCAACGCGTCTCACTTGACCAACTTTGCAGCTGGTTGCCGCTGTTTTCTGCTCAAGTGCCAGGAAAAGCGGAAGCCTGCCAGTATTGGCACAAAAGTTCGACATTCCCGGCCCGGCAGCGTCTTATTTCAATTAAAAATTGTTTAACAAATCAATTTACTGCGCCTGGCGCCAAACTGATTAAAGCAGCGGCAGCCAGGCAGCCATAAAAGCAAAGAAATGCAATTTGAAAGTGGCGGCGGGCGGCAGGCTGCTCGGAATACCCTTTCAGGCCCTCGGCGGTTCAGAGGTTTCCCGGGAAATCTCCGCTTTCGAACAGGCTTAGGGCGCCAGCGCCACCAGTGCAAATTGAATTCCTCGCCAGCCCCGCGGGACGATTAAGATGGCAGCCTCGGTGCAGCGGGTAAATTAATTTATTTGTTAAACTTTGCGATGTCAGGGAGCCAAAGTCAAAGTTTGCAGCGCGGCGAAAAGAAAAATAATCAACTATAACTAAAACAAACAGCCGGCAGAGTGTAGGAAAAGGAAAGGGCGTGGCTGCGGTCCAAATGCGTCGGGAACCGCATCTCCAAGGACTTATCCGCAAGGACTTTATCATAAAGTTTCTCCGGGTGGCTGGCAAAGTTCCTGCAAGACGGTTAGTGATGGCAACCTTGCTAGGATTACACCGAAGGAAAAAGCCCTTGAAATAATTATCACGGGTTTTGGGGGATTTAAATATTGATCTATTAATATACAAATAACTCGTAAGATTTTGATATCATGTCATATCATATTAAACCATATCTAATTTACCGTTAAAAATCTAAACAAATTGTGATAAATTCTAATAAATAAAAAAAAGACAGCTGGAGGTCCTGTAAAATAGTTATCTTATTCTTAAAGATTTCACTTTCTGTCGCAGTGCTTCCACTGGCAATCCGAACTGGAGCACCTTGCTCTGTTAGGTGCCTAATGAACGGGCAACCCACGGAGGAATAAGGTGCCGCTAGGTGGCGCCAGGTGGGAGAGCAGTCGAGCAAACACTCTTATCCATTCCACTGAGCACGAGTCGCAATCAAATTAAGTGCTGTCGGCCAGCAGATTAAACCCCTTTGTTCGGCCCAATTACTCGACATTCAATCGGGAGTTCATTTCAAAAATTGCATTAAACAGTGCGGTAACTTTGATTAAAGTCCGATAGACGCCGCACGTGTGGCCTGTAATTGAATTTGTCGCCGAATGTGTATCGCTTGCATTAAAGAGCCGGGGAACCATGTTTCGCACTTTGTGTGCAAATACCACTCCGAACCACCCCAAAAAGGTGAACAGTCCCCCAAAAAGTGCCAACCAAACACACAGCCTCACATCGTCTGCGGCAACGGCAGCAGCATATAAATCAGATTTTGCAATTAAGCCTTCATTGAAATTCAGGCGTAAAATGTAAATTTATTATGGCAGCCACGAAAATGATGAGGAAACCGCGGTGTTCCCCCAATTGACTGACAGATTGAGCCAGTTTTCCCTACTTATGGCGGTTCAAAGTGCGATGCTGTGCAAATATTGCTCAGTCACGGTTTAATTGGTCCCGAGAATACATCGACAGTAGGCACATTGATGAGCCTTCAGTGGTTTTGTATTCAAAAGAAAATTCCTTTTATTATTGGTAGGCACTTAAAATATATAATGCTTGAGTGGCGTAACTGTTTTTAATAGTTTTTTTTAGAAGTAATACGATCCGAAAATTAAACCCATTAATCCTTTGTTAAAATTGTAAAAATAAAGCTGTCTCACCCGTTTCAATTTTCTTTAATTAGATCAGCTAGAGCAAGTTTCACATTAAAAGCATATGTTTAACTACATACATGCAGAAGGTTTGTTCTCATAAGGGCTTTCTAGAACCTCTTCAAATACCCTCCCACAAAATCAGTCATTCAATCACTCACCTTTCTACGTCCACAACAAAGCATTCTTCGCACACGCGAATTTCCAGTAGCTGCTTTCAATCGAGTAAACTTCTTCTTCCACTGCATTTATTAGTGGGGATCCGATTGGGAATATCTTCCTCGTTCTGTCCTCTCGTTTCTCCTTTCTCCTCGCCTTGGGTGGGGTTTCGTTCGAAGGCAACTTCTGTTAATTGCCGTATTTGCTTGCTCGTCCAACTAAAACTGGCAGCAATGGCATTTGGTCAATGCTGAACACGTGTCTTTGGTTCCTTACAAAAATGCGATATAAAAATGCAAGTTCGGTTTATTCGTTGTGAGTTAAGTTGAGTTGAGTTGAGAGTTCCTGCAAACGGAAAAGCAGTACTGTAATGAGTGAAAAAACGAGCGCAAAGCCATGAGCAAGTATTTACTGTCACATGATTGTCAACAAGCTGGCACAAATACCACCCATTATGACCGCCTGATGGGGCGAGGCACAATGGGTTACAGTTATTTAAAAATTGTTATATCTATTTATATTTTCAGTTTTCAACCTACCCAAAAAGCTGTCCAAAACTAAAACTTTTTTGTCTCCGAAATATTGAATATTTTGCCCTATGTAATAAATTAAAATCTTTTGTGGGGTAGAAGTACTTTTAAAAGATATAAACATAGACCTTAAAATGAACCTATTTAGTACTTGACTAATTAAAATTCAAATTTTATAATAATGTATGAAAATAAATTGGTTCCCTTTTTTTACCATCCAGAACACTGTGCATCGTTGTGTGTTTAAGCGAGTATCTGCTCGTGTTTAACTTAATGAAGCTTTACACTTCGCGAGAATGGAGCCCCCAGCCTGACATGTGTCATATGCATTTGCTTGACAAGGCATTCGAGAACTTGGACAGTTCCATCCCCCACCAGCGACCTCCTCCTCCTCCACCCCCACCCACTCCCACACTCGGTGGAAACTCTTGTATTATGCATATATCGAGTAACTGTCTGCCTCTGATTTTATAGCGCTGATAATGGAATGTTTGCCCAGCTCCTTGGATTTCGTCCTCAGTCCATTGGCAAATAAAATGTTGTTCGCTAAGCACAGAGATTGTAGAGATGGAGGTTAAAGAAGAAAGAAAAAGAAAGAGGAAGGGAAAGAAGGAATATAGTGGCCTACGTTGTTGGGTCACTGCCTTCTCCTGCATGGGATCAACCAAGAAAGTATGCCACATATTTTAGAATTGTAAAAATTATAAAAAGGTTGGTATCTAAAATAAAACTTAATTTTTTAGGTATCAACTATTAAGGTTTAAATTCTCAAAAATTTAAAACTTTTTTATATGGGTTTTCTTATTTTTTTTTTATTAAAGCTTTAATGACATTTCACATATTAAGGATATTTTTTAAATGTAGGCCACTTTTGGTTCTTATACACCCTTGGCAACTTGACAAAATCGGCACACACTCGCATAGCTGTATATTTATGGTAATGAAGCGGACCAGCAGCCAGCCTGACTGGCCTTTAGGGCTAATTGTGTTGGCCTGGATTTCGTCAGTAAGCTGAACTTGCTCTGCTAAGTTCTTGTAAAGAAAATTATCCTTAAGGGCGTTAAACTGAGAAGCATTGAGTCGCAAGGAATGGGGAAAAATACAAACATACATACATAACATTCACTGTGTTGGAATGGTTTTCTATTAAGCAAACAAAGAATGTTATGGTATTAAAATAAATCTTGATATAATTTGTAATTAAAAAGGATGTAAAGTGGCTGTTGTGTTGCTTTAAAATGGAAAGTAGATGCGAACTGAAAGACTCTGCTAAACGACTCTGTTAGTATTAGTGATTACTTTCTCAATGGAATTAATATTAAAGATCTTCATACTAATTTCAAGTAAATAGGGCTTTACATTTCTATTATTGAACACAAAAGAATTCTAAGCCATTCAGCATAAGCCTGAGTAATACTTTAAAAGGAAAGGCTTAGATGCAATTATGTATTTCATTATTACTGACTCGGAAGCAATTAAAAATCAACACCCAAGGGATTTAGATTGCGTGGCCAGCAGGCACAGCGATATTTCTCTAAACACCCTCGGCAAAAACAATTCGTCATCATCACCGGGATGATCATTGTCATCGGCATTGGGGGCACGTATAGCCAAAGTGAGCCAGTAAAGCCTTTGGTTGGCACTGTGCCACCAACTCCAACTGAGATTTTGTTGCCATAAACCAGTTCTCTCTCGTCTCTCCCGGTTTTCCCCGAGCTCCCTTTCTTGCACCCTGTAGTAATTGCAATGAAAAATGTTACAATCGTGCACAGGACATTCAAATGTACAAAGAAGAATGTGGAGCTATGTCCTTTTGCATATGTGAAGGGTCCAGCTGCGTCACTGATTTCCTTGCCAGCTTCAATGCTAGTTTCAGTAATGCCAAAGAGCTCATTTTTAAAACAGATCTGAACCTTTTAACTCTGGAAAATTTTTTTTTCTAAATTTGAATTATTCACTAAACAACAAAAACTGAAAAAGGTTTTTGAAAATGATATAAAAAACTGATAGAAAATAAATCCTTTTTCGAACAAGAATGTTTTATAGTTGGGCAATAAATATCAATGGCACATCAAGATTTCACATTTCACATTTAAATTAATTTTTTTATATTATCATTTTTAATACTTTTCAAAATATAAACGTGGAAAAAAATGGATAAAGAGTGGATATTTTTTTAAAGCCCAACTGGCATCACTGCTGAGTGTATTGGTGTGCAACGGGAAAAATACTATTCATAATTTCTTTCGCAGTGGGTGCACTGCGTCCGTGCGGGGAGTTGAAGAAGCTGAAGGAGCTGGAACATGCAGATACAAGATACTTTGTGTCACAACGGCAGCAGCGACAGAGTACAGCAATCAGCCGGGAGGAGAATTGTTGGCCGGAGGTTCACTGGCAGCAGCAGCAACAACCATTACCATTGCCACATCGAGAACAACTTTGCCAGTCGCCAGTCGACGGGAATGTTGTCTAGGCACGCATAAAATTTATTATAATGACATCATAAATTCAGCCCGCTATGTGTGTGCATAAATGAGTGACAAAGCTTTCCCGCCCTCCCCCACGAGCGGCGAAAATGGCAAATCATTTATCAAATAATAAAAAACAGAGACTATTCGCAGTAAGCAAGAAGTACGTTGCAGAAGAAGAATTGGCAACGCTCAGCAAAATGTCGAGGGGAACAAGTTCAGAGATATAGCCAGAGGGCTATAGCCCCACTTATAAAACCAAATTTATAATCAGAGGACTAAGCATAAGAAATATCTTGACCTTTTTTTTTGAACTGAGATGAGATTTTAGTTTACACTGCATTCAGTCCCAAAACCTTTTAAATAATCTAACTAAAATACAATAAAAATACATGCCAATTAGCCAATGCAACAAACGACAGTTCATTGAGGATTTAAAGACAGATATATCGATTGCTCTTTTTTGGCTCAGTCGTAACCCCATCGCATTATTTGGTATTGTTATTGCTGCGTTCAAGTTTATCCACCAAGTCCTCCGTTCCCACTTCCATGTGCACACATTAACTGGCATGTAGCACCCGCCAAAGGAATATCCACCGAAACAGGGACCCACCACCGAGGACCGTCGCACCCTCACCCGAAACTATCACACCCAGTGGGCTTCAGCCGCACGCTCATGCGATTGCACACACACTGAGGGAAAAGGTGTAGTCCATTACAACATGTATCTATTAATTATACTTATCAATGAAATGCATAAAGTAATGAAATTTTTTCCAGTGCAGTCGCGTCGCCCCATGTGGCCCTTGTTGCCGGTTCTCAGCCCAGAGTTGCCACGCTGCTTTGTCACTCGAAACTTGCAACTCGCCACTTGGACGCCGGACAGAAGTCGCGTTAAAAAGCCAAAAATATGCTCGAAACCATAGAAACTAGCAAAAGTGCGGCGAAACCCAGGGTTTTATCTAATTAGTGAGTGCAGAATCAAAAGGATGGAATTATGGTTGCACAGCATGGGAAGCCCCAGTCCGCATTACAGCTGGCATTGCATTAAAGCAGGGAATTGTACCATATAAGCAGATCTAAACAGATATTACAAAATGTTCTTTTGCTTTCCAAAAAAGCTTCATAACCTATTGCATTAAAAGAGATTAACTTTCTTAAAAATAATCATTTAAATTTGGTACTTAAAGCCAAATTTAATGGATTTGAAAAATGCAATAAACCATAACTAAAGTCCCGAATGGCAGCTTAAATTGTTTCTATTGAAAATCAGATTTATGGCCAACATAAAGCATCCGCTGGCTTTTCTTTATGTACAACGGGTTTTTTGCCATTCTGGCATAAAATAAAGATAGTTTTTGTGGTTTAGTTTAAATTCGCTTTTATTTTTCGTATTATTTTTATGTTTAGGGACCCCACACGAATATTTCACTGTTGGCTTGTAAAATTGGAGCAAAGCTCTTAGCTTTGAGGGTAGTTTGGTGGACTCCAGGGGCGGTTTGGAGGGGGGCGAAATGGAACGGCGGCTTTGAGTGGAATAAAAAAGCGAAAGAAAAACATTTCTGATTGTTAATGTCGCGGTTAATGTTTTGCTTTCCGCATCTTCTCCCCCAAACGTATATCCTGTCCTTTCTTCCTTGGCATCTGCCTGTTGGGTTTTCAGATATCACGGCTGCCCTGGGGATGGAGAACTTGAAAGACTTTGAAGCTGGAATAGCCACCGCACGATGTTACATTTCTTCTCTGCTCGTATTGTTTTGACGAAATGCCATGTTTTGATTGGGGTGCAGGAATGCCATTCTTAATTAAAAGCGAAATAATTGGAATTTCAGTGGCAAATGTTGTGAAAGGATTTAGGCATAAGCAAAAAACAGTGCAGAAATGGTGGTACATTTTTTCAATTTTGTGGTAAGACAATTTTTTGATATTTTTGGAAAGGATTTGTAATTAACTTCTGAGATAACATATTTTTGTATTCGCAAGAGGTTCTTACTGAGGCTTTGCATTTCGTAGTAACTTCTTTTAGTAAAGATTTAAACGTTTTTAAAGGCTTATTCTTGGGAACGTAATTAATTATGTGTTATCTTAGTTCTTGATGTAATGACAGTAACAATTCAGGAATGGTGATACTTTTTTTTCAATCTCAGAGTTGAACAAATTGGGTGGTAAGACCATTTTTTGATATATTTGGAAGGAATTTGTAAATACCTTCTGAGATAACAAATTTGCATTTCTTAGCAACTTTTTTAGTAAGATCAAAAATTGTTTCGCTATTTAAAGGCTTATTCTAGGGGACGTAATTATTTATGTGCTATCTTAGTTCCTGATGTAATGACAGTAGCAATTCCCACAAGTGCATAACCCTTATTTATATCCCTCTTATCCTTTTCATGTAAATCTGGAACTGACAGCGACAAGGACATTTCCATTGATCGGCTTGTCGCTATTCAATTAGGCCTTCAATTAACCGAAAACTGTCCACTTCATCGCCGCCTGTCACTTCGAATCGCACACTAGCTGAATGGTTTTCCCCGCAGGAGGGTGGCTCCTACGCCAACTTTTGGGCTACTCACCTGCACTTTGCAACTGGATGTGGCTGTGGATGTGGATGCGCCTCCTCCTGACGTGCCGACGCCTGACGTTTCCCTCTAATCCGTGCCAACGGCTGCTGCCCAAGTTATGAAAACATGAGATCACAAATTGCAAGGGACAATCGGGAGGGGGGTGGGTGCAGAGGGGGAGGGAGTGGGCTGGTTGCAGTCACCGGTTGTAAAGAGGATGCACTTGCTCTCTCGGGCAGCTCGCTCTCGCTCCTTCTCTATCTCTTTCTAACGCCTGCTCTGCTGCTCTGCCACTTATTTCGACTTCGATTTGTTTTAATTTCCGCTGAAGCTGCTTTTACTTCCGGGGGGCAGTGAGAATGCAAAAATGCAAATTGCAAATAGCTACGTGGGTGCTTTTGTTGCTAGAGACAAATCGCTGGTTCGGTGGTCAAAATGGCAGTACATCCTTGCAGCCTCTCTCTTTTCTACTTTCTCCGTTGTCCTTTCGTTGCCATTTCTTTTCGTTTCACAGATTCGTCGCGTTCACCGCTGTTTTCCCTGCAACCGTTTTGCTGCGGCATTTTTTTCGCAACTTGTGAGTTAGTTTCAGCATGTTTTTTGGGTTCCCGGAAAAACTGCAACTTATCTTTTTGCCTTTAATTGATTTCTGCGCGAGTGTGTGTGAGCGGCGGACGCGAGTGTGAGTGTGTGTGGATGCGCGACGGGCGGGTGTGTGGGTGTGCGGGGAAGCCGATCCAGCAGCGGAATGCGTCCGTGTGGTAGCGCGGAGCTTTCGCAACTATGCGAATTTCCTGCGTATACGAATTTCAGTATAATAAAATATCCTGTTCCGTTTCCAAGTTGAGCAAGAGAGCCAGCGAGAGCGCGGGTGCTAATGTCCTGCGCATGCGCCGCGAATTTGGAGCAACTCAGTGCTGCTGGCGATAACACGGATATACGGACACACAACACCAATGCACGCACATGTACACCCACCACCGCGATGGCGCTCCCTCCCTCTCACTCTCCCTTTCACTCCACAACTCCCAATGGCTTTTTTCACTTTGCTCTGCGGCGCTTTCTTCACTCGCTTTTTCCGCTGTTCGACGACACTTTCAACTGCTTCCCGTTCTGCTCCACCTTTGGCTGGTGTTCTGCTGTTTTTGCACAGTTTTTGTATTCAGGGGAATAACTGAAAAGTATTCGCTGATCAGAAGTGAAACACTCGCAGCGAGCGACGAGAGCGAAATGCAGCGTGCAAGAGCGAGACTGCACGACTGTCATCAGCTTTTACCGTTGCACCCGGTGATGTGGATGAGCGGGGGTGAGGCGGCGCTGCCAGAACGCAGGCGCGGAAATATACCGTTGCTCGACCTGAAAACGGTATATACTGAATACCGAATAAGAATTCGGTTTCGAAACAAGAAATATGTTGGATTTACAAAATATTTTTACAGAATCTGGAATTCAGGAAAATTCAGAGGAAATTTTGTATGGAACAATATGCAACGCTTTTATAATTTTTGTTTATTTTTAGTCGTATCCTTATCATTATACTCAACCCATATTTAAAGTTCAGTTAGCATGTCCTATTATCGATAGCATTGTTGTAGATGGCGTGTTAATTAACACCGACACTTAACAGAGCTGTTATAGATGGGGTGTTAGTTAACATTGGGAGTCAAATCTCTGTTTAAAATGATATCGGTCTAGCTTTTAAATATCTGATTTAGCTATTTCGAAACATAAAATGGTCTGATTGGATGGATATAATAAGAAATATAAGACAAAAAAAACCAATTTCGAATGTAGAAGATTTTAAACTTAAAAAAACACTTGCACCGAAAATAAATAAGAATAAACATTAGTGACATTTTTGATATTCAGCGGTCCAACACCAACATAATGTGCTGCTCTCTCAAACGCTTCATTAAACTTGTAAAGTAGTGTAAACAGCTGACTGAAATTCCACACTTAAAAGAATACCCTTAATAAAAATATCGTTTTCTAGCTATCATTGAAGTGGCCTGCTAATTCTAGCTATTTTCAAAGGTCAGTTCTGCCGTTTTGTGGCCCCAAGAGTTGGCAACACTCGCGAGTTAAAAACTTGGTCAACTTGAAAACACAATGTTTTTGCATAACACAAAGCTCTGCAGACTGGCAGGTGAGTACCTGAATGGTGATGGTGCCTACCGGCGCTACATGAACACATTCCTCCGCCCACAGGCAGCCTGGCGGGCGGCGTGCGCCACCTCAGTGGCCAGAAGCCGAAGACCGCAATCCTGATGCTCAACATGGGCGGCCCGACGCACACGGACCAGGTGCACGACTACCTGCTCCGCATCATGACCGACCGGGACATGATCCAGCTGCCCGTGCAGAGCCGCCTGGGCCCGTGGATCGCCCAGCGCAGGACGCCCGAGGTGCAGAAGAAGTACAAGGAGATCGGCGGCGGCTCTCCGATCCTCAAGTGGACGGAGCTGCAGGGCCAGCTCATGTGCGAGCAACTGGACAAGATTTCCCCGGAGACGGGGCCGCACAAGCACTACGTTGGCTTCCGCTACGTCAATCCGCTCACCGAGAACACGCTGGCAGAGATTGAAAGGTGAGTCTGGTGTCGGTAAAATAATGATGTAAATATGGCAAGGGTCTTGAAATTGACCATCGGTCTCTGGAAATGTGTTAGCTAAAATGGCATAGTTTAAATGCCAATTCTCTATTGTAATTTATTCATTAAAACCTTTGTTTCTAAGGTTAAGAATAGGTACACTAATCATTGTATTGCGTGAATTCTTGCAATAGTTTTTATGACCTCTAATTGAAATTCCCTTCCCAATTGCAGCGACAAGCCAGAGCGCATCGTCCTCTTCTCGCAGTACCCTCAGTACAGCTGCGCCACCTCCGGCTCCAGCTTCAACTCGATATTCACCCACTACCGCAGCAAGTGAGTAATGTAATGTACCTTCCAAAAATTCCCTTCACAACCGACAAATCCTTCCCTCCAGCAACCTGCCCTCGGACGTCAAGTGGAGCATCATCGATCGGTGGGGCACCCATCCGCTCCTCATCAAGACCTTTGCCCAGCGAATCCGCGATGAGCTGGCCAAGTTCGTGGAGACGAAGCGAAACGACGTGGTCATCCTCTTCACCGCCCACTCCCTGCCACTGAAGGCTGTCAGCCGGGGCGATGCGTATCCCTCGGAGATCGGGGCCAGCGTGCACATGGTGATGCAGGAACTGGGCCAGACGAATCCCTACAGCCTGGCCTGGCAGTCCAAGGTGGGCCCGCTGCCCTGGCTGGCACCCGCCACCGATGATGCCATCAAGGTGGGACTTAAATAAGGAGAATCCAAAGGAACAAGTTATAAAATCAATCCATTCGCAGGGCTATGTTAAGCAAGGCCTGAAGAACTTCATCCTGGTGCCCATTGCCTTTGTGAACGAGCACATAGAGACCCTCCATGAGCTGGACATCGAGTACTGCGACGAACTGGCCAAGGAGGTGGGCGTGGAGGAGATCCGGCGGGCGGCAGCCCCCAACGACCATCCGCTGTTCATCGACGCCCTGAGCCACATTGTGGCCGACCACCTGAAGTCGCAGCAGGCGGTCAACCCCAAGTTCCTCATGCGCTGCCCCATGTGCTCCAATCCAAAGTGCAGGGAGAGCAAGAGCTGGTACCGCCAGCTATGCTCGAACTAGTCGGGCGAGGCAATTCGCGGGACTGGGATGCACTGCGTGACGGGCATTCCAAGCGTTCCACTTCCCCAGCTGGGGCGGACATTTATGCATTCATCTGGGCTTCTGGGGTATTGGTTTTCACATATTTCACTTCATTACTTGGCGCTTTAATAAAAGACACTGTTAAACAGTAAAAATAATAATGCCTTTTATAGGTCACTAGAAAATTTCATATGTATCTTTGGAGGTTTGTGGGACAACCAATTTTGTTATCTATAGCGCGGAATGACGTGAAATTTTGTTCGTAGCTTCCACACAAAACTTTGATAATAAACCAATCATCGTGATTTGGGTCTAATGGGTCATCGGGAATTATATTCATATTAAATACATAGCCGTACATAACACATACCCTACGAATAATTTGATATTAATGATTTTCTAATATTGATTTCTACCCAAGCAAAACCATCTAAAAACAAGGAATTTATAAAATTAGTATAAAAATCTGATCCAAACCAAGTTCTTGAATTATAAAAACATCACGGCTAGTGACAGAAAATTCTACAATATTTTTAAATATCTTTCAGTTGTTAAAATCAAGTAACCATTAATTTCTACCCCAAGAAAACCATTTAAAAACAAGGAATTTTTTAAGTAGTTTTATAAAAACAGTTTAGGTGAATAAATCCGATCCAAACCAATATTTTTATTTATTTTTTTTTCTTCAATATTTTTAAATATCTTTCAGATGATAAACAAATACACCCTACTAAAGTCAAGTAATCAGTACGATAACCATAACAAAAGTTACGCTCTCTCTCGCTCTCAATTTTTGTCGCACGTGCGGTAGTTTCGGTATTTTTTCATCGCTCAGAACGAACAGCTGTTCTACTGTCAATTTACTCCGGCCTCTGATGTTTATTAATTGAAATTCGACTTTTGAGTGCTCAAATGGCTCATAAAATTCGCCAAAGCTGGACGTGCTCTTCACCGCCTCCTGGACACTCCTCCGCCTCCTGGTCACTCCTCCTACTTCTGCATTTTAAATCCTGCCGTGTCGATGGAAATTCCCACATTGCATAATTGAGACTTCTCGGGCATCCAAATTGGAACTTCGACTTTGTATTTATTGGCGGCTCGCACGGAAATTAACCAGCCAATTGCCTTCGATTTCGAATTCCCACACTTTGCCAATTGAGCCGTTGATTTTTAATTTTTAATAACTAACCAAGCGCATTTGACCACAGTGCCGGGATATAGAAATCTAATCGCCTCTGCGCAGGGATCATAAATTAATTCGAAGAGCACACACTACTCCGAATCCGAAATGAGCAGGTACCACAAGAGCCGAGGAGCCGGTGGCCCCACGAATCCGGCTGGGCCAGTCTACGGCGTGATCTCGACGTTGGACGACGCCGCTCCGAATCCCGCGGATTTCGCCAGGTAAGCGACGAATTACTCTCCCGTGGTTTTGTTTACGCTTTTCCCCGAATGGAGAGCGAAAACCAGTTTGGAATTGGGCTTTAAAGCTGCCGGCGGGCTTTCTTTCCACCTCTTTCCCCGGTTTTGTCTGGCATTTTGTTTACGAACATTTTGTGACGCATCAGCTTTAACCCCAGTTTGTCAAATCTGTACACACAATCAATTCACCAATTGAAATTTATTTTTGAATTAATGAAAAATTTATACTGAAGCCCATCCACCTGCTATTAAACTTGTAAATATAGTAAACTATAACTTGAGCTTTTCAATCACCAAAATATCTTGGTAAAAATAGTTGAATATCTTTATTCACCATGTGTACAATTCAATTAAGATTCATGAGTATGCATTTTTTAGAATGATTGCAATTTAAACGTCAGGGAAAGTTTTGGCATTTTATCTATGAGATATAAATTGGAACTGTTCCTATTTATTACTTTTGCCAAATATGCAATTAATTAGGTAATTTTTTTTTTACCACTACTAAAAAATCTTACGGATGCTAGGAGCCTATCTCAGCTGAATAGTTCACGTATGTAAATTCATGCCCAAACATTCCTTGAGATAAAATGTCTAAAAATATTTTTCAAGATGAAGTTCTTGCCCTTATTCAATATGCAATACGGGTTTATTTGGATGCCGTTTCCGATTGTGATTCTTATCGTCTTCAGCCAGATACCAGATACGTGCAGACAACGGCACTCCAGGCGGCTGGTCACAAATTAATTGAATTAGCAGATTAGATGAGGTATGTGACCACCGGCACACCACTCAATATCACTTCAAATTAAGATTAGCCAGGCACCTTTTAAGTTTCATAATTGGTTTTTAGATATATCCAATCGATTAAATCGATATTACTTCACAAAATATTTTTGACGGCAAGCTTTCGTTAATAATTTTTTTTTTAATTCGTATTGATATTTTACGGGATTTTACTACTTTATAATGTTGGCGGTTAATGTAAAGATACCTCATGGCAATGATCATTTTTTCCTTGTGGAACCCAAGTGTAACCTAAAACCACTGAACCACCTTAATCGTATTCGCTCGGTTATCTGTCCAAAAGACAAACATAATGAACTGTAAATGCCATATGCTTGATAATGAATTTTTAAGGCTTATCTGAACCATGGAGCTAAATTAACAGGGAATTCCGACTTGGGTGCCATAAACCTAGACAAATATTAGTAGTCTACAATGTTGCAAGCTTGAAATAGTGGTTTATGGATTAGGAGCAGTTACAGTTACTTACTACACTAACAAATTTTTTTTTTAAGAACTTTAAAATACATTTTTGTACAGAGTTCTTTAAAAACTATTATTTTTTGAAATAATCTAATCGGTTTATAGAAGGTATTAACGCCCGATTTTTATTGCTCAAGAGTCTATCTAATCTTCTCCCTTCTTCCGCAGATGCCCCTCGCTTGAGGCGAAGAAAAGTGAGCTGAGCTTGTTCCTCAACTGGGGAAGCCCCAAAAAGAGTATGGAGTTGGGCTCGAGGCTCAAGAACCGCAGCTGGGTGGTTGACGTGCTGGCCATCTTCTTTGGCATCGGAACCTGGCTGGGAGTGAATGGTACCTTCATCCAACTGCCCCTGCTGGTGGACGAGGCGCCAGAGGGTTGGAGTCTACCCTCCTATCTCAGCGTCATGGTGCAGATCGGCAACCTGGGCCCGCTGCTCTACACGGCCATCCAGAAGTACTCGCCCAAGAAGCTGAACGACGGCTGGACCATCCACGGAGTGCTCCTGGTGGGAGCGCTCTCCTGCCTGCTGACGGCGTTCTTCTACAACCAAACCGCTCCAGTGGCTGGCACGGATCACAGCCTGGCCCTGTTTGTGCTCACCTGCTTCACGGCGCTGAATGCCTGCACCAGCTCGGTGCTTTTCATGCCCTACATGGGTCGCTTCAAGGAGCAGTACATGGTCACCTACTTCATCGGCGAGGGCCTGAGTGGACTGCTGCCCAGCGTGACCGCCTTGATCCAGGGCATCGGCGAGAGCGGCGACTGTGTGCAGGTCAATGTAACCGAAACCGGAGAGGCGGTCTACGAACTGCAGAAGACGCCGCCACGATTCGACACCCGAGTCTTCTTCCTCATCCTCTTCGGGCTCATGGTGCTCGCCTATGTGGGCTACGCCCTGCTGAACTCCCTGCCGGTGGCCAGGAGGGAGTACGCCCAGGTGACGGTCAGCGAGGGCAACAAGTACGTGTACGGCGAGGCGGACAACCAGCCCAAGGAGCAGAAGCTGAGCAGGGGACAGTACACGTACCTGCTGCTGCTAATCGGAGCCATCTCGCTGTTCAGCAACGGAATGTTCGGCAGCATTCAGTCGTACTCCAGTGCCCCGTACGGATCCCAGGCGTATCATCTGGCGGCCACCCTCAGTGTGATTGCCAATCCGGTGGCCTGCTTCATGGCCATGTTCCTGCATTTCACCTCCCTGCGGATCATCACCGTGCTCTCTATCCTGGCGGGTCTGCTGACCAGCTACGTCTTCACCACGGCCGCCCTGAGTCCTCTGCCGCCGCTCCACGACCAGACCATTGGAGCAGTGATCGTAGTCACCGCTTGGACCTTGCTGGTGGGGATCGTGAGCTACACGAAGCTGGGCATCACCACCGTGATGCGGGCGCAGGGCGGACAATCGCTGGTCTGGGTGGGCGCCATCACGCAGCTGGGATCTGCCATCGGAGCGGTGGCCATCTTCTTCGCCATCAACTATTCGGATCTGTTCCAGGCCGCCGAGTCGAGTTGCTGATGGGCCAGAATGTCCAGGGATGCATCGTGATTTTATAGATGATTTTACTGTAGTTTAGTGTGATATTTTCAATGAAGACAATACCCAATTACCTGAACAACGAGTTTGATATTTTACACTCATTCGAAGATAATCCTTAAACACTCGAAAGGAGTTCCTAATTGTGAGCACAAGCACGAATACTTAATGTCACAAAACGGTGAAGCATTTACCTCTGTTTACCCTTACGACCACCGTCAGAGGCAAATTAATATTTTTGAGAAATAAGCTGTTTGTATTGAATAACATCTCAGCAGGTATACATGTTAAGTAATGAAATTTAGATAAAATCATAAGATTATTGAACATTATCCAAGAACCGCTTATTAAACTTATAGTCTTGAAAAGCCCATAGGAATACCGACTTCTTAAATAGCATTACCCAATAATTGTATTTAATACCTATTTTTCATATTGTATATTACATTTATAGTACATTGTGTGTCCATAATTTGTAAAAAAAACTTAAATTTAGATTTGATTCATTCACATTCTTAAACCAATTAAAATTATACTTGGAGATGTAGTTTACGATGAATGTTGATTTTGATAAATTGGCGAGGTCTTTATAATATTTCTGCATATCCATAAAACGTAAAATATTTGTCTTGAAAACTTTTGTAGTTATTCCAAAGATACTTCCAAATCTTTGTAATTTTGAATTCCTATTATTCTATTTTGAGTTCGACTTCAAACCGTTTAGGGAACGGCATCCGTGGAGGTGCACTTATCCGCCTGCTCTACCTCGCTGTCGATGTCGCCCTCGTATCCCGAATTGGTTTTCGAGGCGCACGGAAGGGGTTTGTGTCCTCGGCACTCGGGGGATTCATCCAAACTGCAGCAGCTGCAGAAGCATTCGGTGAAGTGACGACAGGTGTCGCCCAACTTCTCGGGGGCAGCCTCTAAAACCTTGTTGAAGGCCTCGATCTTCTCGCGGAGGCTGCGACTGGCACTGGGAGACCCGAAGAGCTGGCTTCCCTGAGGAGAAGACCTCGGAGATTCGTTGCCAATCTTCTCTAAAAAGCCGAGCACCTTCTCCAGCGATTCCCGGGCACGCTTGAAGCTCTGTAGGCTCTCCCGCAGAACTTGGCTTTCATTGAGATGCTCGAATTCCACCAGAAGTCCATGAATCTCGGACAAATCCGAGGGTAAACTTATACCCGCCACCGAGGGGATCTGCGCCGCATTCGCCGCATTAACCGTTTCGAAGCCCATGATCAGGCGCCGGATCTTGGTGGCCTCTGCCTGGTGGCCACTCCTCGCCAAATGCATCATGCTATTCACATCGCCCACCTCCTTGAGCAGCTGCATCGAGGACTGGACCACCATCTGGTGCTGCTGGATGCCCTCTCGCAACCGATCTCGCAGGTTCTGAAGGTAGGCGCTGATCCGACGCACCTGCTCTTTTTCATCGAGGTTCTCCAGAAAGACTGGGAAGTTTAAGACCAGGCTTTACTTTTATTATCACTTATTTTTTAGCAAAGAGCTTACCGGGAATCATATCCTCGGTCTCTAATTTCGAATTATCGTCGGCCATTATTATTTAAAAAAAAAACTAGGGGTAGCCAAAGAATACTATAAATTTACAAAACTCTGTTTACAAAATCTGATACAAACTGACTAACTCTTTTGTAGAGTTCTGATGCGTAAAATTCAAGGGTAAAAGGATTCGAAAATCAAATTTCGAGAAGTGTCAAAATTTTACTTTGACTTTTATTTATTTTTTTTTTAATTTTTAAATGCTGGCAATGGTTAGTTTTTCAGACTCCCTTTTTTTCACTTCACCTATCCACGACTAAAGCCCCCGGAAAGTCTACAGTTTTCGAGCACCTTGGCACCACTGTAACTGGCTGGGTGAACAGCTGTTCGCTGGTTTCTCGGTTTGTATACTTTCTGTTTTAGTTTTGATTAGGGGGGGCGATGCGATGTGATGATAAAACCGTCAAAACGAGTCGTCGCAGTTCCCAAAAAATATACTGATGTGTTCGCTTTTCTGGCTGTAATTTAACCAACTGCAAATATATCTTTAATGTGCTTTTCTGTGTCTCCAAAAAGTGCGCAATTGAGTGTTCAAGTTCCGATGTGAAAAAGTGCTTTGCGGTTCCAGTTGGAAGCCACAATTTTCTCGACTAAAAAAAGAACAGCGCCTCGGGGAGTGTGAGAGCGATATGCGTGGACCGCTGCCCCACTGGAGACCCTGAATTTCGGAACTCCCAGCCACTATAGCTTCTTGACTGTTCTGTGAGGAAAAACCCTTCTCCGAACCGGCAAGATGAGCCTGTGGCGGAACCTGCGCTCCCTGGAGACCCGCAATCTGGACTTGGCCCTCGGCCAACGGGAAAACCAATTGGTGGCCGGCCACCTTCCCTCGGCCATTTTCCGCCAGCGGCTGAGTGCAGCGGAGAATCTCTACCAGCGCAACCTCACCGGTCACTATGGCTGCGTGAATGCCCTGGAGTTCAGCCCCGGTGGTCAGCTCCTGGCCTCAGGTGAGTGGGACAACCTGTTGATAGCTCCTCTATCTCCTTTAACCCTTTGACCACCAGGTGGCGACGACAAGAGGGTCTTGCTGTGGAACATTGACCGCGAGGTGGTGTCCAAACTGGGGAAGCCCCGCTCCATGAACGAGAAGCATGCCAGCAACATATTCTGTCTGGGATTCGACACCCAAAGCACACACATATTCTCCGGGGGAAACGATGATTTGGTCATCCAACATGACCTGGAAACGTGAGTTGCCCTTTTAAGAACTTTCTTGAAACAATGATCCTTAAAACAGTGGATAATAAGGAGTCCTACTGAAATATTCGTTAGAACATAAAAGTTTTTAGTTTAATAATAAAATAATTAAATTAAAAACATGTTAAATATTTTTATAATATTTTTTTTTAAATAATATATTTATCTATTATTATAATAAAATATATTATTATTTAAAATATTCATTTTAATTCATCCTTGAAACTATTCCCATTTGTTTTTTAAAGAGTAAAAATCCTCAACCACTTCAACCACAAATATTTATTATAACTCTTCCTTGAACTTATTCCCACATTTCTTTTATAAAGAGGAAAAATCCTCAACCACTTTAACCACAAATATTTATTATAATTTTTCCCTGAAACTATTCCCACATTTTTTTGTATAAAGAGGAAAAATCCTCAACCACTTTTCGCACGATGGACCCGTCTATGGCTTGAGTGTGGACAGGACCAGTGGCCATCTCCTGAGCGTGGCCACGGAGCACGGCGAGATCCTGGTCTACGATCTGAGGGCGGGAAAGTCGGAACCCCTGGCCCTGGCCAAATTCAAGACGCCCTTCAATGCCGTGGAGTTTCACCCACTGAACGGAAACTTCCTGGCCACAGCGAATGCCAAAAGGGGAGCCATGCTCTGGGATCTGAGGCACCACCAGCAGTAGGATCTATCTATTTATAACTTCCTTAGAATTCAATTAACTCACTTATCTTAAAACCAGGGCCCTTTGCCAGTACAACTACATCCCGGAGTCACCCAGTTGCATGAGCGTGCGCTTCAATTGCAACGGCACCCTGCTGCTCACCCTGCACCGCCGCCTGCCTCCGATCCTCTACAGCCCCGGGGCACCGGAGCCGGTGGCCACCTTCTACCACGACGAGTACTTCAACTCCTGCACCATGAAGAGCTGCACCTTTGCGGGGCCGCAGGATGAGCTGGTGGTCTCCGGATCGGACAACTTTAACATGTTCATCTGGCGACTGGATGGGGTGGATTGTGAGTTATTGGGATTACAGATTCAGCTTATAGATTAATTGATTTTTAATTTTTTAGTGGAGGAGAAGAACCAGTGGATGGAGACCCAGCCCCTAATCCTCACCGGTCACCGTTCCATAGTCAACCAGGTGCGCTACAATCGACAGCGCTGTCTGTTTGCCTCCTCCGGCGTGGAGAAGATCATTAAGGTGAGTTGGTAACGCTTCGAATAATCTAGATTATCTGTCAAATCCCTCCTCAGCTGTGGAGTCCCTTTGCCCAGCAGGGCTGGGAGGGATCCCTCACCCAAGCCGAGGCTTTGCCCTACTGCAGCCGCGCCCTGCATCGCGAGTCCTCCGATCACGTGTCCCAGGACTTCAGTGCCCGTAACACGGACGAGGACCAGGTGATGCTGGCCTTCTTCGACACCCTGGTGCAGCGCGAGCTGGAGTCCTGGAGCACGGTGGACAACCAGAGCAGCTCCAGCAGCAGCTCGGCCACCTCCACGGAGCGGAGCGAGGCCAGCTCGGCCACAGAGGATCCGAGTGAAGAGGAGCGCGAAAGGGACGCTCAGGAGCCTCATCCCCAGCAGGACCAGGATGAAGACAACGAGGAGCAGGACGCCGACACACCCAATGTCAGCGAACTAAGCTGGCAGACCCATCCCAACCGCATATTCTACCTAATCGCCAAGAAGCGACGAGCCCTCCTCCAGTTGGCCGTGAGGGGGACCACTGGACAGCCGCGCAACGTGGACCAGTTGCTCCAGCGGCTGCTCAGCGAGCAAAAGCAGGCGGCCACGCAGGCGCGGATCAGCGACTGGCTGGAGGAGACACATCGCATCTTCGGGGACGACGAGCTGCCCACCACGTCGGCGGAGGCGGCGGCCCGGGAGCAGCGACGTCGGACTCAGGAATTGAAAGCAGGTGGGTTTTAATGTTATTATATCCGTTACTCGTAGAGTAAAAGGGTTTATTGTATTCGTGCAAAAGTATGTAACAGTTAGAAGGAAGCGTTTCCGACCCCATAAAGTATATGTATCCCTGATCAGGGTCACTACCGAGTTGATCTAGCCATGTCTGTCTACAAAAGCTAGAAGGTTGAGATTTCCCACACATATTCTTGGGTTTCCTACGCAGCGCGAGTTTATTTCAGCCGAGCGCCACGCCCCCTAAAAAGCCCACAATCGCCCAATAACGATTTTAAACACACCTTTAAAGATTTCCGAGAAGTATAAATGCAATTTTGTTGTGAATATTTATACCTATCGAAATGTAAAAGACATTTTTTAAATCGGACCATTCATTAAAAAGTTATGCTCAATCAAAATTATATATTATATATATCCATCGCCCTCGCACTCCCTTTAGGTGAGTGACGGGTATTAGATAGTCGAGACACCTATAGCGTTCTCTCTTGTCATATACATTCAAATTCGAGTCAAACCGATTGGTTTCCGCCTCCGTCTCAAGAAGATCTCCGCCAGACACACAACGGCCGAGAGGAGACACCCGATGGTGAGGGCGTAGAAGGCCAGTTGGACGTCGGACAGGGTGAGCACCTTCCAGCGGCCGACGTCCAGTTCGGCCAGGTACTCGGGGAACCGCTGGATGCTCCACTTGGCGCGCTCCTTGGCCTCGCCCGTCCACAGGCCCACGATTCCCGCGGCCACCAGGCGCAGCACGATCCGGTTGACCTCCTCCAAGTAGGGCGAGGGGCGTGGCAGGACGTAGGCGATGTGGTAGTTCTTGGGGCACTCGGGGATCTTGTGCACCTTCTTGGTCATCACGTACCGGATGTCGCTCAGCTGCAGGCTGGCGGAGCGAGTGACGCCCGCGAAGCCTCCTCTCTTGGACACCATCTCGATGAGTCGCTCCTCGCCCTCGGCCACCAGCGTCATCTTGGCGTCCAGCCGCCGATAGACCGCCGAGTCGTGGCCGTAGAAGAGGTCGTCCTTGAAGGCAGGATGCTTGATGTATATCGGCTGGCCAGACGCATCCAGTTCCTTGAGGGTATTGACATCCCGATAGTAGAGCGGTCGAATGTAGACTGTGGCCAAGCTGGATTCTAAAAGAGCTCCGAAAATCACGCTCACCAGGCACAGGGAAGCCACAAAGATGCGCTCCGAGTGGAAGGAGGGAAAGCGACCCACATTCACCCGCACCCAAACGACCCAGGTGTCGATGAAGATGCGAAAAGATGCTCTATAAAAGCTGGTCTTCTTCGTAATCGATCCATCTGGAATGCGCTCTATGCCGAGGACCAGGTTAAAGGCCCGGAGGAGGAGCCACACCAGGGTGCCCAGGAGTCCCACCAGCAGGAAGCACAGCCAGACGTCCGAGTTAACTGCAAACAGGGGCAGGATGGACTGCGGAATCCTCTGGGCCTTCTTCACATACAGGCACAGTTCGTCCATGTAGACGGCCGAGCTAAACTGAATGTGGGTGGTCAGGTAGTCCTTGACAAAGAATCCCGCAAAGATGATGTCCACCTCGCCACGATGGGCGCGGCCTACGCCGCCACTATAGGATCCATCCGCCAGTCGCCCTCCAAAGAACTCGTCATCCGGCCAAACATATTCTGCCGTGAAGTTCAACTGCCTCTCCACCGTTTTGGCCAACTTGGCATCTGCTCCATTTACACTCAGCACCCTGTTCTTCTCGTAATCTCCCAGCACACTGGAGTAAACCGAATCAAAGATGTATATTCTCAGCGGATAGCCCTCCAGATTCCGGTAGATCCGTCCATAAGTTCTGGGATCGTGAACCACCACGAAGGTTTGCTTGAAGGGATTGTAGAGGAGTATCTGTTCCCTCGTCGGTTGGACGTAGTAGATCCTACTGTGTCCATGTGTCAGCCAAACCTTAGCCATGAAGTCGAGTAATATTTCCTCATCCCCGGGATCATCCTTCTCCAGAACCAATATATAAAAGCCATCTGTGTTGACCAAACCGTTTAGGATTCCTTGCATTTGCTGTGCATTTTCCAAAAAGTAGAAATGATGTCGTGTGGGTTCCGATGTTTCTAGTGCATCCTCTTGATTTTGAACTATTTTTATCGAGTTCGTTCCCTTCACCATTAAAAACTGCGCCAGGTCGCTAACGCCGTTTCCGGAACTCCTCAGATGAAGTTCAAGGCCACCCTCAAGTTGGCCCAAAATCGAGCACAGAACCAACTTGTAGTCCGAGTTATTGGCTTGACCGAGGGTTCCGCCCACTGTGGCCAGCATAATTAGCTGCAGAGTCGTCGCCATATCAGAAGTTACTGAACCTTCGACTGAGATTGCGGAGCTAACAATAGACAGGTCGACTGACATCCTGTTGACCCAGTGTTTGCCTAGTGTCAGAACCATTGACACCCGAGGGCGGACTGCTACCCACAATTATTGGCAAGTGTCTGGGGTTTGTTGACACTACCCGACTTGCCCCATGACTTGCCCATTTATGCTTGGACAAGGCAGTACTGTTCTGTTACAGAAACTTTATACGAGTGATTCTCTGTGAAACGTATCGAGATTTTCTTTATGGCCTCAAAAGGATATCTAATTTTTATGAAGTTAAAAAAAATCCATTTGACAGAAGCGATTGCTAAATATTGGACCTTAACTTTCTTCTCTTTTCTAGTTGATACCCTGCAATCCAGAATCGGTGAAAGGCAACGCAAGCGAAAATTGAAGAGCCATCGGTTTTTGGCCACCAAACACAGGAGAACCACCCTTCGACTACGTCCCACCGAAATGGAGGACAGTGGCGCTTCGAACGACACAGAATATCTGGAGGAGAACAATGGCAACTCGGACGAGGAAGAGCCCCTGTCCTCGGGCGACAATCACAACAATAACACCACTGAAAGCGCACTCAGCGAAGAGGAGGAAGACAGTAGTTCCTCGACAACCTCGATGACCTCCATGGAGGCACAGTTGTCTCAGGCGCCCAGCACATCCAGTTCGTTTCCTTTTCTTCCCGAACTGGAGGCCAACAACAACAACAACAGCCAGCTTACGTCCAACCGTAATCACAAGACAGTCAATGGTCTAATTCCGGATATTTGTAATACAGAGTCAACGGCATCCACATCCTCATCCATGTAGGTTGGACTGGAGCTACGACTCCTAGGCTTAAATATGTTTTTATAAGACCCATCCACGTTTGTTTATAGCATACACAGCTTTCGTAGAAAGTATTAATCACTAAAAGGCGACCGTTTTTATAAATCAACCATACAAATTATGTGATTTTTTCAAAACTAGCATTCAAAAACCAAACGAAATATTATTTTTTCAACGTTCAGAATGAACAAGCAATTTTCACATTCAAATTGCAAACATCTCTAATGAAACTAGAGATTTCTAACAACTTAGCATCATAAAATAAAGTTTCCTTTACTTATTTATTATAACTCAGCTTTCTCTCACTTCATTTATTGATTGTGGAATTCTCGTAATGTCTACAATAATTTATAAATACACAATGTTTAAAAAACCAACAGAACAGATAAGAATTTTCTTGCTTGTGCGTTTGTTGAACTTTGAACTGGCATGCACTTAAGGGCGACGATTAAACGTAAAGAACATCTTTAAATATACTTAATGGTGTGTTGTGCTTAAGTCTAGCTTGTGGTTTGCAACTACGGCTAAGAGTAGGCTAGTTAATTTACACGACAGCTGGGGCGGAGATCAGCGTTCGGCAGCTCAGCAGGCTTCCACTTGGCCGTTCATATCGCTGGGCCTGAACGGCAGTTGCATATCCTTGCAGCGATCGATCACGAAGCGCTCTAGTTGACAGCCAGCGCTGAAAGGGATTATCAATAAATAATTATAATCAAGATCGCCAAAGGATCATACTTCTACTCACTCGTAAATCTCGTTGCCTTCCACGTTGTACAAATCGCAGTTCCTAAACACCAGCTGAATGTCGCTGAGCAGCTCCTCGTTCAGCTGGTAGGAGCCCATGTTCAGCTTGGACTTGATCTTGGCCAGGTCCATGGGCGCCTTGATGATCTGGTGGTAGTCGGGCACCTCCGACGTCAGCACGGGGCGCAGGAAGGGCCAGGCGGCCTTGTGCTTCATGATCTGCTCCAGCAGATCGTACAAGGCGGCGCTGTTCAGCGGCAGGTTCTCGTTCATCCGACGGCCGCTCCTGCGGTGGTTGTTGTTGCTGGTGCTGCTGTTGTTGTTATTGCTGCTGCCGTTGCTCTGGCGGGCGGACTTGTCGATGGAGAGGCGCACAGAGTTGCGGGAGCGCTTGGCCTTCGGTTCATCCTCATCGGGGCCATCGTCGCCATTCACTGGGGGAAAAAGAAGGGGACTCTTAGTAAGGAAAGTCTTTGGATTTCATACTTGTAAACTCACTGTTGCTGTGCCGCCGCCTGGGCTGCCGATGCTGCACCGGCTTGCACGTCTTGCACACGAACTCTGTGCGCGGCGGTCGCTTGAGGTGGGCGCACTCCAGGTGGAAGAACAACTTGCACTGCACGCATTTGATCTCCCCGCCGTCGTAGAAGCATTTCTGACAAACCTTTTCGTCGTCGCTGTAAGGGAAAAGTAAATAATTTAGTTTCTAATCACCGTAGTCAATCATAATTAACTTACGATTCCTCCACCGTATCTTCATCGGCTGTGAGGGAAGCATCATCGCTGATTTCCACGCTTTCGACCTCTTCTCCGGCGGCCTCTTCAATCTCCTTGGAGGTGAGTCGCTTGCTCGGTCGCGTGCGGGATCCCCTCAAAGTTCGCCCGTTAACCTTCGACGATGAGTGAGACTCCACGCTCCTGTCGTCCTCGACTTCCTCGTCATCATTCTGCTCTTCATCCTCCTCAGCCTTTTCCTCCTCCTCCTGCTCCTCGTCTTCTTCCTCCTCGTCGTCTGTAGGCTCATCCTCCTCCTCCTCCACAATAAACTTGCGCTTCTTCTTGGCCGCCTGCTTCTTATCCTTCTCGTTTTGAGCGTTCTTGAGGCCCAGACTCTTGACGCAATCGTTGCAATACCAGTTGCCCTGGGGAACCGACCTGAGCTTGGGCTTCAGGCAGAACATGTGGGTGCCCGCGTTGCACTCGTCGCACAGCAGCATCTTGTCGGGATCGCTGCCTCGCCGGCAGATCTTGCACAGGGACTTGTTCGTGGACCTCCGCCACTGAATGCAGTCGTGCAGGATGTTGAAGTGCAGAAAGACCTGGGCGAAGCTGGTGCTCTCCATCAGCGACACTTCCCACTGGTGCAGCCGTGAGTCGCAGGCGAGTCGCAGAGCCTCCTGCTTGGGATCCCACTTCTTCATGCCGTAAGGCTCTTTCAAGAATCGCTTTCCGATGGCCTGCTCCACCTGGAGGAGGGCCGAGGCCATGTTGTGCACGGCTAGTGGAATGGATACAGCATTGGCGGTAGATTTATCCTCCTCATCGTCGCTATCTGACTGGGACTCCACATCCTCAGAGGCTGGCAGATACAATCCCGGATCGCGATACGGCTTCCTGGCAAATTTCCCCAACAGAGCGACATCGTCCTCCTCGTGAGTGCCGTGGGATTCGTTGTCGGAACCCGCCTCATCCTCCAGTTTGCCGCCTGGGCCCCACTGCAACTTGCACTGCGGATCGTAGCTACCAGTCAGCAAGTCGTTTCGCCACTTTTCCATATCCTTCACCTTCAGGCGACCGAGATCGCCCGTGTAGATATCATTCTCGAATTGGATTATCCGATCCACCAAATGCTGGCGCATCACCTCATTCAAATCGGTGCCATTCGGCAGTCCAAAGTTTGCCTCTCCATATTTGCGATGAGTCTCCGATTCCATGGTTGCGATGAACTTCTGTCGCATTGCCTCGTTCTCCAGGCTGAGCAGCTCCACCGGGCACGTCTTCACATGCTGTTCGATCAGGGAGCGCAGGACGGAGAGCTCTTGAAGCAGCTCGAATTCACGAAGTCCATTCGAGTTTAGGCCCTTGATGAGCTCCTCAATCTCCTCGTGTTTGTATATATAAGACCACCGCTGCCTTTGGCCGTTCATAGGATCATGTACAATGCAATTTCGCTTGTCGCCGCTGCACATCATCAGCTCAAACTGGGTGGGAGCCTCTGGCGGATCCGCTTCCACTTCCATGGGCTCGGCACTGCCGTTGAGGCGGTGCTCCTGGTTCTCCTTGTTCTCCAGCGAGTGCTTGGCCCGCTTCCTGGTCTTCTTGTCATCCTCGCCATAGAGTTTCAGGAGATACAGCCTCAGATCCTTGCGACTTCTGGGCAACGTGGCCTGCTGGCGAATCTCCAGCTGCGACTTGTTCGCCGGCGGCTGCTCCAGGCAGGTGTCCAGGCTGTCCGGCGAGTGCTCCACGAAGATTCCCGGCATGGACTCCAGCACGTAGTACTTGCGGTAGCACCTGTCCATGCCCAGGTACACCAGGAAGTTGAACAGCTGCGAGTGCAGCTTGAGCACCTGCTGCTCGTGCTTGCGATGCTGCTGATCCGACTGGGCGTGCAGCTCCGCAATGCTCTTGTTCAGCTTCTCCACCATGGCCTCCCTTTTTTCTGGTTCAGCGGAGCTCATTTCCAGGTGGTGCGTTTGGGTGAGCTTCTTGCGGTTGATCTCCACGGCGGCCAGTCGCTTGTTCTCACTTACAACCAGAGCTCGCAGATCCTGCTTGGCCTTGGCCGTCTGCTCCATGCGCTCCTCGATTAGATTAATGGTGCCCGAGTAGGTGAGAATCTGGGACATGAGGCAGCGGATCACGAGCATTATGTCCCTGAACTTGAGCTGATACACGGAATGGTTCTTCAGGGTGCGCAGGATGTGGGCGTGCTGCAGGCGGAGCTCCAGCCCGGGATCCTCCTTCGAGGAGTAGCCGTTGCGGTACATCACCCTCCAGCGCTCCGCCTTCTCGTTCACAATGGCTCCGGATCCGAGGAGATGCAGGCGCAGCACTTCGCTCAGGGTCAGTGCGTCCAGCGGGAGTTCGTTTACCTAGCAAGAAAGAGGGATATTAGTTTAGATATTCTAGCTTGCCGTTTGCATAGTAGAGCCCTGCATGAATGGATTCAACGAGTTTTTAATAGAATCGAATGAATTTGAATTTTGAGTTTAACAGAATTGAATGAATGAATGGCATGAATTCCAAAATAATTCAAACGACAATTTATTTTAAAGAAGAAAGGGCCATCATTTTTTGATTAAATCTGCCTGAATTTTATTTACTATACAGCAGCGGTCGGCAGCGTCCTATTAAGTGAGCATAGGGTTTTGTTCTGCCGCCGCGCTGCTCGCACATGTATAACGTAGAACAGCGGTCTGCACACACACATCGATGAGCTGCCCAGTGCAAATTACTCACACAAATATAAAACAAAATGTCAACGTATGTGTGTGCCGACCGCTGCTATACAGTTAAAAATTTTGTTTTCGAAAAAAAAAACACAAAAAAATCTGACAAATTCAAAAAATCATAAAAATCATTCATTCAATTCAAATACAAAAAAAAATACAAAATAAAAATTGAATGATTCACGCATGGCTCTATTGCCTACTAACCTTGAAGGAGAAGTGCCTCCTGGCGTACAGATGACTCTTGGCGGCCTGCACCATGCTGAGGAAGGGCTCGCGCAGCTGGGACGACCGTTCACGACCGTAGGTCACGGCGCACTCCTCCTCCTCCTCCTTCTGCAGATCGAAGACGGTGCCCAGAAGCACGAGGAGAATGTCCGAAAGAGGGCCCGCAATCTCACGGGCACTCAGCGCCCGGGTCATTTCGTAGAAACTGAGGTTCTGGCGGAACACCTCGATCCCGGACAGCAGACCGGTGTAGGTGTGCATGAACTCGCGCATCATGAAGGCGTCGCCCAGAAGACGTTCGGGGATCAAAGTGTGAATCTTCCTGTACCTGGGCAGCAGCTTCTGGTCGGTTCGTTCCAGATCGTCCGTCTTCTGGAGCAGCAGGTTGCACTCGTTCTCGACGCGCTCCATCAGCTGGGCCTTCTTCTCCGCCTTCTGGCGCTCCTGCTCCATCAGCCTGGCCTCCTTCTCCAGCCTCACCCGCTCCATTTCCTCGGCCAGCGACTTGGCATCCGACTTGGCCTTCGCCTTGGACTTGGCGGCCGTCGCCTCGTCGGC